AATATTGATTCTACACGTGCCCACCTTACAAATAAACATTTTGTGTCTCATCACATATACGCCATGTTGCCTGATCCTCTCTCTAGATCCATACATCATTTTGAGCCAAACAGATGATTGTCATATCCATTAGACATGTTGAAGGAAACTGGCTTTTTGTGTTTTCTTGCAGTCGCGATCTTACATAAAACCATGCAGATCTACCAACGTACTGTGCACGCACATCACAGGTGTTAGCCGATGTTAATTCGTAAAGATTAGCAGGAATGCTTAACTTTTTGAGAGTTGTATATAACAGCATTAGCGTTTGGAGTTTCGAAAGCTTCAGGTCATGTTTCGTGACACCTTATAATTACGAGAAGACAGCTTTCGTTTCTTTAATCAATGAGTATTTATTTCCTCAAACTTACATCTGAGAGCATATCATTGAAACAAAAGTGTTCATTGTATATCTGGCTTTCAGCTTCCCACACATGTTACACATGATTACCGCCTCGTAAGAAGGACAAGTATTTCTCTGGACTTGAACGACTAGTTTCTAATGTCATCGAATAATGAGGACTAGGTGATTATACAATGATAACCCTGGTTATGAGTGTATGATCATATCCCTCATGCAGTCTGTCACTGATTTGTCTGATCCAGATTCAGTTGTTCACATGTCATTGTGATACAGTGTAGCGTGACACAGCAGTCACAATATTACTCTTTACCATAGGAAAAACACTTCCTGTTTCCCATGTGAGCTATTTCTGGATGATGGAGTGGGTTGGGGTTAACGGAATTTTGAACACTAGTTCAGTTATATCTTATGTGAAAGGGTACATAAATATTTCATTTTAGCACTAATTAAGTTTTAAAATGTTGTATTACAATGTGTATACTGTATATCAAATTTGCATGGCTGAATTGCAAGCTTAAGGAATACGTATTTACATAGAAGCTATCTTTGTTTGACACACCGCCAACATCTGTAGCTTCATGGGCAAGTACCAATACATTTTGAACTAAATGTTAGTATGCATAAATGCAATGTCATGGACAATACTCCGTTGAACCGGAAGCCGACAGGGGTAATGGAGGTGAAAAACGATTTTACATGCCACGAGTGTAGCTAAAAATGTTGAATTGAATATATTGTACGTGAGTAATTACTAATTATGAGGTTGGAAATCTGAGAGCACAATCCTGTTAAAAACTGGTTGTGTGCCTTTGTTGGTGTCGATTTTTATTTTAATATTCAAAATATTTTTAGAACCGAAGCGAGGGAAGCAACCTTCGCTCACATATAGAAAGACTGGTGATTTTTCTCTCTGTTGCGCAGCCCTATTTGCGCTACACTTTGCCTGTGCATGTAGTATTTGGGCAACAACGTGTCCTGCAACATACAAATGTCAAACACACGTTCAGGACGTTCCAAGTACCGCATACACAATACTGTTTCTTTCTTACTGAATACATGCGTTTTATAAAGTGTATTGTAGTGTTTAGTCTGCTGACAGCCCAGTACGTGACTGTCACAACGTTGTATAGGGAGAGAGTGTTCTTCCCTCAAATATCACTCACTTTCACTACCAGACACTGACGTATGTTCTTGGACTTACACCTAAAAACCCCCATAATATCCCCTACTATTTTCGCATAGCATATCTCAATCATGAAGTGAAGCCAGACAAAAAATATTCTACTTCCTCACCCATGACCCTGGAGGAGCACCAATTACAGCTCCACCATTCAATGTTGCATGACTTATACAAATTGATGTAAACAGGTTGACTAACGTCGTATTTTCTATGTATTTCCGCAACACGGCAAATTAGAACAAATGAACCCTGTTATATTCACTGTGTGTCACTGGAGTTAAAAGGAAGTTACGACCACCGGATAAACCAGTGAGTTGTATTATGTAATTGATATCCGACCTGTATCCAGTGCCATCGGCACATGTGTAAGGGATAACGCTATTTAAGATGAAGACAAGAGGAATACACGTGGCTTTACTTCTCTGGCTGTTGATTATCAAGGTAGGTATACATTTCATCTCCTGAAGCTGTCTAGTTAGCATGAGAGTATATATGCTAGTTAGAGGACACAAGTATATTACCCATATATCGTACTAGGATGTTTTACTTCTCAAGATGAATCTACTTACATGCGTAGTCTTTACAATAGGGTGCATGAATTCATGTGTCCTTTTTGTTAATCCAATCTCTCGATGGAATATATATCAAAGCAATGTAGTTCGGTTTGTGTGAAGTAATTTAGACGTGACTGTAATGTACACATTATTTACATACATGGAGCTTCCTTAGTTTTTAAGCGTTGCAATGAAGACAAATACACGTATGTCAGTCTACATTATCAATATCAGACAAGTTCAGTTATGTTCTTAAGTTCAAAGTGAACGAATAATCAGTTCTCTGAGAATACTGATACTCTTAATGAATAATAACTTAAGGCGTTATAATCAATGTTTATTCTATACCTTAACACATACGGGAAGCCATGAACACTCAACGCCATTATCAGTCTATGAATGGGAAATATGGTGGGTCGGCTTAACTCTCCGAGCTCTAATAATCAGCACACGCCCTGCTGCGTGAGGAATACTTGAATTGATGCACATATTGTGTGAACTCATTGATGGTATTTTCATGTGAATTTAAACAGTCACGAGATACCTCTTGCCCCTTCATAGGACGCTTACCAGTGACGCGTTCTAAAAATTCATCATACACATGTAGAAAGTGAATTATAACTGACAGGAAATGCAAACGTAAGAAGCGGTATCAGAAACCTGGCTAAATAATGTATGACCTTAGCTCGGCGTTCGTCACCATAGCCACGAGGGATAGCCTCTGTGTTTCTTTTCAGAATGATCATACCGTTGACAAAATTATATGCCCATCAATGAAAGAAATCGTGACACTGTTCATTGTATTTCCGGCTTCTAATCTTTTAAATAACACATGTCACGCACCATAACTGCTTATTTAGATAGTGAAATAAGGTTGTCGCTTGACCACTGGACAAGTCTTAAACGAAACGAATTTCTAATGCCATCGAAAAATCGAGGACTGGGTAATTATACAATGATAAACCTGGTCATTAGTTTTTTTATCGTACCCCTCATGCTGTCACTGGTCTGTCTGGTTTAGACGTTAATTACAGGTCATTGAGATGTAGCCAGAAAACTGCTGAGTCTAACGGTACAGTTCATTTTAGATGCAAGGAACTCTAAATGTTCTATGTATAAGCTACGCGGGTAAGGAAGTGCGTTTGGTTTGAACAGTTCGAACAGTATTTCAGTAAGATCACGCATCTCAATTTGATGTGAGAATATTTGCCTCAGCTGATGTCCAGACGATTATCAAGATAATACATGTCAGACTGATCATGTATACTCTCCCAAAAAAGAAACGCATAGGTGTATTTTCACGAATGTAATCTGCAAACTTTAAAGTGAGATAACACGAGTAGTTCTGGATCAGTTGGAGCCAAATTTCACAGTCAATAAGTGAAGTCGTCTGTTCCCAATTGGTCGGTGTCTTTTTGTGGCCAGCGTGACACCCAGGATCCTTAAGATTCCGTCTCTGTACAGAATAGTCCTGGAGGCGAGAAAAAATAGATTTCTGCATGTAGGATATTTTCCCCCACATCATGACACCCTCATCACCATATCGCTTAACCTGGGCAACACAATTCTGGGAAAAATGTTCATTTGGATGTCATACGCGTCGCCAGGTTTGTAGATTCCAGAATCGAACGTTATTGCATCACTGGACCCGTCAACGTCGATGTAGTCGTCGCAGCACAGGGTCAAATTAGGGTCTTCCAGCTTCCAGTACAGCTTCGATTACGAATGGTTTGCGTTGACACTCAACCTGCAGTTACATTTGCTATGGCGATTCTGTAAATGAAGTACCCGGATGTACCTGCACCGCAGTGATAATCCGGGGTCTACCACTTCCAATTATGCGTAGAATTGCTTTGTTGATATCGGTGCCCCCCCGTAAATGACAGATGGTAATGAATTTATTGGCGACCTGCAACGGCAAATTGAAGTGAAATATTTGAAATTTCATGTACCAATATCACCTGTGCGTTACTTGGTTTGGAGAGTATATATTTACCATGCCGACTACTGACCATACATGTTTAGAGATATAGCTGCTGCATATGCAAATGCCATTAGATTTTGAAGTGAAGTATTGGCAACGTAGTTTCTTAAGGATCAAAGCACACACTGTGATATGTTTAAGGATTATCGAGTTCACATTACCAAGGATAAACACACGATTTCTGGTTTACGTCGATTGAACAGACCGTTAGCCCCACAGCCACAACACTGACAAAATGATGCGCAGAGACCAGTGCATTAGTGTGGGAGCAATGGAAATACATTTTACGTTACAATTTCTCTTTATTGTAAAACTGAAGACATGTTTGCTGAACATGCACAAAATATCATGTAGTGAAACAAAAATATTTGATTTGTCAGAAAATGTTTTTTTCACTGTTGAATATAGTGAACAGTGGAAGATTACAAACATTACATCTTGCTTCTTCATCATCTATTAGACATTTCCCCCTTATTACATTTTGAACTCCGAAATAATTAAAACTACTTCTACTACTTTTGTACCGAAGAATGCAGAATAAGAATATAACTACATGTTCATGCTTAAAGCCACACTGATATTCTGAATACTTTCATCAGTTTCTACAAGATGTTCTAATCTTGTATGAAGAATACAAACCAAAACAGCTTATGCGAGGCTAACACTGACACAATTGCTGTTTCATATCACATGTTTGTTTAAGTTAGTGTTTGTGTTTTTTGTATTTAACAGGATCCTCTTGTGTAGGTGTTCTCCCGAAGCAGGTCACAGTTCTTGTCAAACACATAGCTACAGAAGCTCAATGATGTTAGTTTACTCATTGTACACAATCTTTTGGAATACATAATTCTTTGGATACAACATATACTGAAAGAAAGTCTTCATATCAACGTTATTGCTACATAGTCCCATACTCTGCATGTATTATTTATACCATTACCATATCTCCGGACCCGTAAAGATCCGGGTCAGAATTGGTCTTTCGCAACCCACGCCTGTCGCAAGAGGTGACTAACGGGATCGTGTGGTCGACACATATTGACATATGTGATCGTATCCCAACTGCTCATGCTGTTGATCACTGGGTTGTCTGGTCCAGACTCGATTTTTACAGACCGCCGCCATATAGCTGGAATATTGCTGAGTGCGGCGTTAAACAACAACCAACCAACCATATGTCCGATTATATATCTTTATGATTTACAGTGTGTGAAGACTGGCGGTAAACTGGACATTCGATTCATCAGTTACTGGTCAGATGGCATGACAATCAGTAGGGAATGTTGTGAACTTTTGTGCTCTGATAAATGTGATCCAAAGTTTTCTCTGTGCATCTATGGGTAAGTACATTAAAGTTATTTATTCGGAAAACGCACGAGTCAAACACATTCATTTGGGGGTAGTTTTCTATCTCACAATTATATTCTTGGCACTTCTGGGATAATGATTTGTGCATTATTTTGTCTTGTGTTTTGGTTATCAAACTGTATTATTACGACAAGTATGTAAGAATTGCTGCTTGCCTAATCGCCTTGAATATGTTTATCACTGTGTCTGAATTTGAAACCATCATAGCCCGAGTTGTTGTGTACATTGAACTTTAAATTTGTTATTCATCTGAAAGAACATCTGCCTTCTATGTCTACTCGGTTTTCAAGTCATTTTTGTTACATTTGTAGATGAATAAACGTCTATGTTATTAATGATGCGCTTTGCTATCGGTAGACTTGATGGTGTCATACAACAAGCTAATGTTATTGCAGCTCTGACGGAGGAAACCCCTGCTCTCTTTATCAGAGCACCACAGACTACATAGACAATCATAATAAAATTAACTTTGGAAGCAGCATTCAAGGAAAAGCAAATCCTTTCATCATACCAGTGCCCAAAGCAGTACCGGTAGGTTTGTTCTTTGCTAAATGTATGATGCCCTGAAGGAACCAATTACATAGAACCTGAACTTCTCTGTGACTGTTAATCAGGAAACTAACAGGAAAAGTTCATAGATGAGCTCAGTGTGGGTACCAGTGGGTCATTCTATCATGGTGGCGACTCACAGCATCAACGCCTGTTTCGTCTGGTCCAGCCCCTGTTATTTACAAGTCAGTTAAAACTAGCATTAATAACTTCGGAGTTAACCAACAGATCGATATATTTGCCTTGTTATTGATTTAGGTACATTTATTGGCTGGAATTTTGTGGTTTCAAATAACAAACTAAAATGAGAGTAACACGTTTTTGTTTCCAGTCCTCAATAACAATACGAGTGGAGGTGTATGACAATGATGACACCTCCATTGATGACCACCTGGACACATTCTCTAAGCTGATCAACATCAAAGCTACTGCTACAGAACAGACAGCTGTGTACATCCCATACATATTGAGGGGAAGGACACAGTGAGTCATAAATACTTTAAAATGATGAGTTTTGATTGATCGAAACTTTCAATAGCACACGAGGTTTACACGTAATACTTAAGAGTGTGCTTATGGTGCTCAAACTGTATGAAGTGAACTATTTTTCAGGTTAAATATTGCAGTCCGTGCATACTGCGACGCGGATTGGTACGGGTCTGCGTGTGAGAAATATTGCAAGGCTACTACTAATCACAGTCACTACATGTGCCACCTACAAACAGGTGCAAAAGTGTGCTTTGAAGGTATGGTCAGACACTGATTTCAACATTGATGTGAACAATTGTATATTCAAAAGATATATTGTGTATTGAGAAAGGCCAACAAGATTAAAATCATACCATAATATCAGTTGTATATTATGTCAGCTCAGAATTGGAAATGTTAAATCTTCCGGTAGATTTTGTATCTACCATTGTATATTGTCTATATTGTAATTTTTCTCTCGCATGGTGGTTCGCCCAGAGAGTAAAATAAGTCTTGTTTGTCCATTTTGTTTGTCTTGTTCAGTGCACCCATCGGGACAGCGCTGTTGAAAGTAATCGAATTATTGAATCATCGGTGTAGAGTGAAATCTGTTTCCGTATTCAGACGTTCATCTGACGGCGATCATCTAGCTCGTGTTCTAACAGAAGATGTCCGGAGTAACAGGATTTTACAGTAAAACTATCTGAATCATTTTGCTATTTTCTGCACAAATTTAAACACTTTCCGATACTAAAATATTGCAGGCTGGAAAGGAGACAACTGCAATCAGGACATCGACGAATGCAAAGAAATTGACAACACATGTCAAAATGGGGGAAGTTGTAGAAATACACTCGGAAGTTTCGAGTGCAGTTGTATCGAGGGAATAAAAGGTCAGTATTCTATACCTGCAATCTATCATGAATGGATTCACAAAAAGAACAGGATACATGGAATATATACTGAGTCAAAAAAGAAACTTTACAAAATGTAATTTGAAAAAAAATGAATAATTTTTCTGTGATGATACATCTATGTATTCGAAATGGGATCCCTATCTTTCGACTCTAGAAAAACGTTAGGAAAACCCACTCAAACCCATCCATTCGTCGTGCAAATGACGTTAGTGCCAAACCAGGTTTTCCCCTTGCAGTCGATCACGTGATCTTCGCATCGAAGTTTTCTTCATATGCGCGTGTTTGCATTGTCCTCAAGAACTGAAAAAACACTTTTAAACCACAGTTCTAACGGTACTTGAAATGCCACGATTGTCAAATGTGCAACGTGAACGTGCCGTTGGCATGTTGCAAGCGGGAAGATCAGTTATTGACGGCGCAAGACCAATGGGATGCAGCCGTTGTACTGTGTATGACTTGCGAGGTCGTCTACAACAAAATGGCACCACTTCTGATCGCCCAAGGTCGGGTCGTCCACGTGTGACGTCACGAGCAGAAGACCGTCAAATCGTCCTACGTCACCTAAGTGACAGATTTCTGCCGGCTACACGAACCAGGACTGAGATGTTTAGAGGTCGACTGTCCTCACAGACCATTCGAAATCGGTTGCGGGCAGGCAATCTCCATTCTCGACGTCCATATGGTGGGCCAATATTGACGCCGTTTCATCAACGTCAACGTCTGCTGTGGGCCCAACGTCACCTCCGAAGGACCCAGAGAGACTGGAATCGAGTCGTCTTTAGCGATGAATCAAGGTTTACCCTCAGATTCGAGGACGGCAGGCATAGAGTCTGGAGACGACGTCGTGAACGGTATGCCCAATGTTGTATACAGGAAGTCGACAGGTTCGGGGGCGGAAGTTGCATGGTGTGGGGTGCTTTCTGTGGGAACAACCGTTCCCGACTTCTGGTCATCCGTGGAAACCTCACAGCTGCTGCTTACCGCGACCAGGTGCTCACCCCTGAACTCGTTCCTTTCCTGGCGGCTCATGGCCCAGGTCTACAGTTCCAGCATGATAATGCTCGGCCGCATACCGCGATGTTGACACGACATTTCCTTCAAAACGCTGGAATCAACGTCATGGACTGGCCATCGACGTCCCCTGACCTTAATCCAATAGAGCACGTTTGGGATGCACTTGGGAGAAGGCTTCGTGGTCTTAGGAACCAACCTCAGAATTTGCAGGTACTTGGCGCTGCCATGCAAGAGCAATGGCGCAGAATCCCCAACCACGTGTTCACAAGCATCAGGCAGTCGATGAGGAGACGGTGTTTGGCAGTGGTGAATGCGCGGGGCGGCCATACACGATATTGAACTGAGAAATTTCGCATTTTTATTCTTGTGACTTGACATTCTGTATACCCATGTTTTGGAACGGCGGTGTAGCCTAATGGAACTGATTATGGCACTGTCAGTGTATCGAGTACATCACACAGATCTCAGCAATGAAATAATAACAATTTAACCATCTTACCATCTCTTGTTCTTTTATAGTGCCCTGAAGAAAGAATGTGAAGTTTCTTTTTTGACTCAGTATTTCTGCAATTCTTTGACTACTATCACGGAAATTAATGCACTTTCCCTGTTACAGCTGTCATGCATCGTTTCTTCAATGGCATAAACTTTCTGTTTGTGGTCATACATAGAGTGGAGGAAGCAAAGGCATAAACAAACATATCCCAAACTCCATTCCCACACGTTGCTTGATGTCTACAGCCTAGAGTTAACTTAAACTAAATGATATACTAACAAATTATTTGTTTTAATATTGAACATCTTTTATAGAAAAACATGCGATACTTACTGTCCTTTGTCCACAGACACTCGACTATAATTAACTTATTCTCATTGCGATGAAAACTCATCCCCTAAAACACCCAATCCACCTTGTTTCAAGCATAGCAATGCACCTATAGGGTTGCTTCCCAGAATGTTTTAGCATAGCAATATAACTGTTTGAAACTCCAGCAATAATAATAAAGGGTAGAAGGGTTTAAACACCTTTGAATGAAACAATAGCCAGTCCTTATTTAATGGGTCGTTATAAATATCGACTAAATGCTGCTTGTCATATATATTTCTTCATCTTTGTTCAGGAAGGCGATGTGAAAACATCATCAACCGATGTGCACTGGCACCATGTCAGAATGGAGGGACGTGTGACGGAAACGAAACAGCCTTCAGCTGCGCATGCTCAGTAGAGTGGACTGGAGAGACCTGCGCAGAGAAGGTTAATTCCTGTGAGAGCGTCCCTTGCAACAGAGGGAATTGTACACCGGACGTCTTGACTGCAACTGGGTTCAAGTGTAACTGTGATTTTGGATGGGTAGGAGATATATGCAGTCTCGGTGTTGGTAAGTTCAATTTTGTCTTATGATTTCCTTATATATGTGTAGGTTTTTCTCTTTGAACTGTAGAAGTATTGCTAAAGATGTTGAAAAACCAAGTTGTGGTCCATAAATTATATTCAGATATTTAGGATAAGTTTCACATTCATACAAAAACAAATTTGAAAATATTTGACGCAGAATCAATAAAAGGCTTACACTACAAAGTTAGAGCACTTAGGAAAGTTCAGTATTTGTCACACTGACCTGACTACAGGAGATATGAAGTCATCCATATGGACGGAGTTTAACCATAGACAACCAAAGGCGGTCACTTCTTGACAAGGTCATTATTAGTTAACGATATATAGAAAAAGAGTTGCGCAGTATATCGTGCCAGTTTGTATTGTTTGACACAAATGTTGGTGAGAAACTTTTTAACCGATTCAGATCAATGTCACAGTAGTTCGTGTTAGTTATGCTTCTGTCTGTACCAAAATGGAAATGGGCACAGGGAGGATTTCATTGTGATTGCATTTTTGGCTAACAGATTTACTTATTTCGTCATTATGAATTACACAGTCATACATTTCAGCACATTTCAATGGACAAGTTGTGACTACATTCCAAAGAATTATTTATTCATGCTTTGAGTTGTCAATTTAGGATTTGCTTTTCATATTTTACACAAAAAAAGTGTTTGTGCTCAGATATTATCAACATCACACTCATGGGAGAGATTGATCATACAAATAGAGGTGACCTGGCTGATGGCTTCAACAGACTCATCACCGAACTTGGAGGAATTCCAGGAAAGGTGGATGTCAAGTTTATGACAAATTCACATAGAGAAAACAAGTAAGTCACAAGCAGAATGTACAACAGTTACGGGTCTACAATGACTGTATTATTTGAGTGTCCCACTCTGCATGTAATGCCACGATAAATTTCTGTTTAAATATTTGTTTTAGTTTTACTACAACTTACATACAACTCTACTCTGCTGTGGAGAACGGCTCCTTTATAGAGAGTCCTTTACTGGATGCGATCTTCGAATCCAACCCTGACGAGGTCATCAATGAATATCTGCCTCTTCCGTTGTACCCTCCCCGAGAAGAAGAGAAGACAACATTGAAGATGACCCCCACGATGCCAAGAGCTGTGGTTAGTGATGTCATATAAATGTTTATGATGCAGCGAGTCCCAGTATTTAGTACCTGTTATATAACATCTCCACTTGGGACGTTTGCTGGATTGTTAGTTATGTAACTATTGCAGCGACATGACCACTGATCTGTAAATGTTGTCTGGGTCAGACAATTCATTAAGGTATACGTTGCCCTCTGGGTGACAAGTAAAGGTTGCTTGGAACTGTTTTATCACCACATGTATGTAGGAACACTAACTGGGTACATAATGCGTAATGTAACCTTTGGAACCACAATATAATCTTTTTCCTACATAGTAGTAGTAAAGTCTGCTTTGACAAGGTGAATTCAGATCACTTCAGGTCAACATGGGCGTCTTTCAGAGTCCACATGGCAGCTGGGACACAAACCAATATGTGTCGGCCATTCTACCTCCTGTGGGACTTGTCCTGGTATCTGTTCTGCTTCTGGTGGCTTTCTGCGTCTGGAGAAGAAGATCGTAAGTAGTATCTGAAATACTTTGATGAACATATATTGTTGTACCATGTGAGGTGCCAAGGACGACCGTAAGTCTGAAAAACGTGGCTTTCTAATCAGAGCCGTCGATGTATATTTAGGTTTGTTACACAAATCTGAATTATCTTCAAGAAATGTTGCATTTTCTGAATACAAATTTTCAGTTCCTTTTAAGAAATAATTAACATGCCCGTCACCCATAATGTCATCAACACATTAAAGTGAATCAATGTTACCAGCTAAATTTCAAACACTTATCCATGTTACAAATAAATATCTACATTGGAGCGCACGTGTAACCCTGGACTGTCTACAAGTTTCGTTAAGAGAGAGTGTAGGTTTACGCCGCACTTTAGTTAAGAGGACAAAACTCGGTTTTTAGCTTGTTATAAATCACGCATTTGGTCAACAACTGCTATGTTTTCATTATGAAGGGGAAGGTCGGAAAAGGTCACAGTCGACGACCAAATCGGCCTGTTTGTCATCAATGTCCCCTGCAACAGGAACCTAAATAGAGCCGATTCCGTCGCAAGTTTTCGTCAGGATGCAAGCCTATGTCCAGAGGGTGACACTAGTCTTGACTTTGACGAAGCACAAGTGGTAACATTCGATACAGTCTGTGATGAAATATCAAACACACAACCAACGACTGAAGATGTGACCCTTGACCCGCTGAGTATTCAGGGATCAAGTGTGTCTGACAACGCACGTCTTAGTGACGTAGCAACACCCGGTACTCGCCGTCATGTTACATCACTTGACCCGGAAGGTCTACTGAGTGTCATTGTGTCTCCGGATGACCACGCACCTCTTGGTGACTTCGGAACACCCGATACTCACCGCCATGTCACGTCATATGCGCCTCCTGGCGTGCTTCCATGTACCTCTGGAGGTGGTCTGCCTGAGACAAACAGCTATGATCCGCTCAATCGTTGTGAGGAAGAGGATGAAGAGTGCACTGTCGTCGATGACAACAACGTTGGGGACATTTCAGAGGAAAACCCCTATGTTGATCTTGTAGTTCTGAAAAGATAGACTTTTAGTTGCTCTGGACAATGAATTGGTCAGTTCTCAATAAGAACGAAAGCACATTAATGTCCAGGACGGCGCCTCGGATTTTCTTCCGCGAACAACTTATCATATACTTGATTTGATACATGCTTATAATGTTTACTATTTCAAGGTTTGTCACTGTATTTGCTCATGCCCAATGTTATCTGTCTCGGTGGATAATGTAGACTGGCTGCTCTCTGGTGTTGACGTGTTACTGATTGGTAGCTCCGTGGTTAAAGTGCTGACTTGATGCAGGCTGACCAAGTTCTAATCCCATGATGAGCTCACTTTCTGACGCCAACATGCAGGATACGTGTGCGTGTGACCGACTGTATGCGGGGATACCAAAGGTAAAGGGTAGGATTATGATCAACACATGTTCTGAACACCAGGCCTCCTTGATCGATGAAGTAGCCTATATTGAAAGCATTAAATCGTTATGCCACATGGGTGCATGCTAAGAATGGAACATTGCTTAACACAAGGTAAAGCCCAACTTGTGACAACCTTAATTAGCCATTACTATAGAATTTCCGATTGAGTGGTGTTTTCTTTTTATTTGTACGGATCTATGTGGATATCTATACCAGCTGTAAATAAGTATATTGATGTATATATCGTATCAGCTACATGCAGTGTCAGTATAAAGTTATAGTCTAGCGTCCAATGTCCAGTTTGCAAATAAAATGATCTTCAGGCTTTTTTCACTGTCAAGTTATTCATGGGACGTCCGTCGCTCCAATTGTCAACGTTGGAAGAAACGCTCGTCATGGAACGGGGTGTACATTCAACGATCCCTGACGAAAATAACCAAAAACATTTATACTTCCTTGAATTCAGAATTATTTTCCAAGTATTTCTACAAATATATGAGGAGACATTGGTTATATATACACGTACTGTGAATGATTATAAATGATGTTCATTTTCTTTCCTGAAGAAAGGTGACCTTTTTAACAATATCCAGTTCCTTGCAATATTCTTGAAAATTGTTGAAGTCGCGCTTTTATGAACATCAGTTTCGAAAGCTCAACTACGACACAAAATGTACGTGATCATTAAACCTGACAGCGGGATAGGTGGCATAGAGCTGTTGACTATACCAGGTCCACTTTGGGCCTTATGTGATGATAAAGTTAGTCTATCGCATTTTTTACTGTTTGAATTGGATTCATGCGTACGCCTTAAACTATTGTGAAATTATGTGTTTAACTATTTTGGTTTATCTTCATATCTGTTCAAAACATTGAGTTACTGAATGACAAAATGCCAAGTATAGGTTTCGGAAATTTGAATTGTACCACATGTATTGCAAACATAATGCCAGTTCTCCATAATGATGATATATTTCGAAACTTGCTGACAGTCATATCTTGCAAGAAAGTGTACGTATACTTCAACAATTTTACAAAAATACTAAAAACATAAAATTCCTCAAACGCCGCACAACCATATGTAATATTTCTGCAGAAATTCATATGTGGTTGGACCATCATTCTTCGTTAATGGGACGATTTTTATACAAGATTACGGTTAATGATCCGTACATTGCAAGGTCTCACTATGAACGCTTGTCATACTGGATTTGATGGCATACTTGATCATATTCGTACAGCTAAGATGAAGAAAGCTCATTTATAAGAGGAGCACACACTACAGCGATAGTATAACACGATCCACTTTTGTAGCAGCATTCAAGGAACATCAAAACCTTTCATCATGCACGTGCCCAAGGCAGTACCGATAGGATTGTTACATAAATCTAAACACAGTCGGTTAATATGAATAGTCGGCAAAACCACATGCACGAAAACCACAGTGTCTTGCATTCTCAATTGCATAGGTGAGGCTCAATGTGTCATTGATGACAACCCATGGTATCAATTTCTGGTTCGTCTCATCCTTCAGAGAGTGTTGCCTTTTCTTCTCTCCAGTCTTTAATAAAGATAACGGTGCAAGTGTACGACAATGATGATATCTCCGATGATGACCACATTAACACACTTTTTATGCTGATAACCATCCATCACTGCTACAGAACTGAGAGCTGTCTACACCAACATTATGCTAATTTCACTGATTGAGAATGCAGATCAAAGGTGAATTACCTATATCTACGTTCAATCCACGCTTGTATCTGTGACAAACAGCTAGGATGCTGCGCCGATTTTAACAATACAATGCACATGCTGAAATTATATAATTTATACAACAATGTGCTCTCCACAATCGATTACGATAAAAGTAAAACTGTGTTTGTGATGCTGCTTCCATCAAATCAAAATGTAACTGGACACATGTAGAATTTCATAGCAATTGTTGATGCCATTTCTGCTGAAATGTTTGCTATGTTTTTTCTTTCTTGTATTGACCATTTGGTCATTATGAATTATCGAACACATTTCAACGCTCAACTTGAACTTTGACGTCATTTTAACCTAGTTCTTATATTCATGCCTTGAGCAGAGAAACTCTTTATAGGCGTTTTTAATATCTCACCTCTCGGGTGAGAGTTGATAACAGAAATGGAGGAAACCTGACCGATGAAGCTTCAACAGATTGGATCACCAATCTCGGGGAAATTCAGGAAATGTGGATGTCAAGTTCACACAAAAACACATGGAATGAAGACCTGTTAACACCGTTCAAATATATACAGAATAATGTCTTTTAGCGGCATTTAGAAGTTGTTATAGATGACCATGATATTTTATGGATTTAAGCTTCTTTGTGTGGGAAAGAATAACGAAGGATCAATCCATAAAATATCGTGCTCATATACAGAATAGTTATCAACATGTCAGTATGTGACCTGGCTGAATGGATGTCATAGTTTTGCGATTACTTTGGTCAATATGGAGTACAGTTCGGTCGGCCATTGTGCCACCTTCCCATACGTTTCTGAATCCAGTACCAGCAATAAATCTGTACCACGTTAACGTTTATATAGCACTCAAGAGGGCGTGTCCTAACTCGGTGGGGTGGTGGGGTAGTCAAGTGGTTAAAGCATTCTCTCGTCACGACGAAGGCCCGGGTTTGATTCTCCATATGGGTACAGTGTGTGAAGCCCATTTCTGGTGTCCCCTGCCGTGATATTGCTGGAATATTTGCTAAAAGCGGAGGTAAAACCCAACTCACTCACTCACCAAATTCGGTTACTGTTGAAAGAGAGACTCGTTTCCTCAGAAAATATGACATTTGTCGAACGTCGGTGATCCACGCACGCCTCTGATTCAAATTACGAACAGTAAGTTGGAGTACAACACGTGGGCTTCATGCACGTTAAGGCCATCTTTGGAAACGATTTCGCACCGTCCGGCATGTACTCTTACACCATTTGCCGGTCCCTAATACCAGTGGCAGTTTGCAACCGATTTCTTAATGCCACCATTCTGCCTAATCTGTGCTCGGCTGGAGCTGTTGCTCTTGGGCGTTCAGATCAGAGTCAGTGACGTCATTATGATCATTCTCTCGTATCCAGAATCTGCATTCTGATGACAGATTGAAACATTCTGTATTTGGGCAACAAAGTGTCCATACCTACAACATACCAATCGTACCACACGTTCCGCACGTTCCAAATGCCGAATACACAATATTATTTCTTTCTTACTGATTACATCCGTTTCATAAACAACCCAGTGCGTTCGGGTGACTGTCACAATGTTGTGTTGGGAGAGAGTGTTCTTCCCACAAATATCACTCACTTTCACTACCAAACATTGACGTATGTTCTTAAACTTTACACCTCAAAACGTATAACCACTACTTTTCTCATCTAAATCCATGAATCCACACACAAAAATATTCTACTTCCGTATCCATGACCCTGGTGGAGCGATGAATACAGCTCCAACACTCAGTGTTGTATAAATTATACTCATATATGTAAAACAGCATTGACTAACGTCGCATTTCTGCGTATTTCCGCAACACAGCAAATTAGAAACAGAAATTGAAACCCGTTAAATTCACTGTGTGTCACTGGAGTTAAAAGGCAGTTACGACCACTGGATAAACCTGTGGGTTGTTTAATGTGTTCGATATCCGATCTGTATCCAGTACCATCGGTACACGTGTAAAGGGACACCACCATTTTAAGATGAAGACAAGAGGAATACACGTGGCTTTACTTCTCTGGTTGTTGATTATCAAGGGTAGGTATATATTTCATCTCCCGAAGTCGTCTAGTTAGCATGGGAGTATATATGCTGGTTAGAGGACACAAGTACATTGTCCATATATCGTACAGGGATGTTTTACTTCTTAGAGAAATGTACTTATATGCATAGTCTTTACAATAGTCTGCATGAACTTTTGTTGATCCAATCTCTCATCTCTTAACCGTTAGAGGACACAAGTACATTCACCATACATCATACTGGGATGTTTTACTTCTCAGGATTCCCGTGAAGATCGGGGTTAGAATTGATCTTTAGTAACCCATGCTTGTCGTAAGAGGCGACTAACGGGATCGTGTTGTCAGCCACGCTGACTTGGTTGACACATGTCACGGTTCCCAATTGCGTAGATCGATGCTCATGTTGTTGATCACTGGATTGTCTGGTCCAGACTCGATTATTTACAGACCGCCGCCATATAGCTATAATATTGCTGAGTGCGGCGTAAAACTAAACTCACTCATTCACTACTTCTCAAGATATATGTACTTATATGCGTAGTCTTTACAATAATGTGCATGAGTTCATATTTTCTTTTTGTTAATCCAGTCTCTCGACCGATTATACACCAAAGCAATATATTTGAGTTTGTGTGAATGAGTGAGTGAGTTAATATTTAACGTCACCAGTTTGTGTGAGTTAATTCAGATGCCAATGTAGTGTACACATTATTTACATACATGGAGCTTTTTAAACTTTGCAATGAAGACAAATAAACGCATGTCAGTCTATATTATCAGAACCAGACATGTTCAGTTATGTTTCTCAGTTAACTGATATCCACTATTCCGAGTATACTGATACTCTTAATGAATAATCATTCAAGGCGTTATCAACAATTTGTATTCTATACCTTAACACATCGGCGAAAGAATGAATACTCAATGCCATTCTCTGTGGATGTATGGCAACGGCCGCTGGGGCCGGGTTATACTCTTAGCGGTCCAATAATTAGCGCACATCTTAATGTGCGAGGAATGTAAATTGATAAAGATGTTTGTGAACTCATGACCGTATCTTCAACAAATATATTATGCACATGTCTAAAGTGAATAAAACTTACAGAAATGCAAACGTAAGAAGAGGTATGAGAAACCGGATTAAATCATGTATGACCTAGCTCGACGTTCATTCACCATAGTTTTCATCACGCTTCTTAATGTGAAATGAAAATATTTAATGTAGCCGATGTCAATACGATTATCACCATAATACATGTTAGCACCATACCCACAAAGTTGTCAGGGTTTTAAAGTGTTAATCGTCTGAACATCAGTTTATCATGGGTAGGCATAGGTCAACATTTTCACGAATGTAATCTGCTAACTTTAGAAATTGATAGCAACACGTGTAATTCTGGATTTGTTGCAGGCAAATTACACAGTTGAAAGATCAACTGTCTGTTAATATGTTTAGTTTATGGGATGGTTCAATAAGTGAAGGCGTCCGCTCCCATCTGGGAGTTGTCTTCAATATATCTTAAGTGACCACCATGATCCCCTCGAAACTGCTCCGCAT